ATTGACGCTATCAGTAAATGGAACTATTTTCTTCTACTGAAACTATAATGCCCCCAAGAGAATTGGGCACTGCTCATTGAGCAAACAACTAGGAAGATATCGTCGTTTTTCATTATAAAGTATTGAATTCTGATCATTTTATTTTTGTATTTGCTGCACGAATCTGCAATTTCTTTTTATTGAAAAACAAAAAGTGAGAAAAAATTTGTTTACAGAACAACATAGTTCTTTTTATATTTTCGACAAAGATCAGGCAAGAAAATCCTAAATTGTGCAACTTTAAATTCAACTTTTAATAAGGAGAACACCCCTTGTAATCAACTCTTTATATTTCCTCTTAATTTTGAGTAACACAGACATTTTTATAGTAAGGAAAATCATTCGCCATCATTAAAAAATGAGACCTAACCGAATTTGAAGTGTTACCTAACCAGTCCTAAAGCAGTAACCTTAATTGGGACTTTTTTAGAGCTGTCAAGGGCATATATTTTTAAAAGCATTCTTTTCAAGAAATAAATAACAGAATTTTGACAGATTTTTGCGTCTAAAACTGCACATTTTATAGATCATAAATGACCCCTTTTCTCTGTATTTTTAATGAGATCGAGTAAAAATGCTATAAAGAGAAGTTTGCAAAAGCCTGATATATTTTTGCGTCTAAATGTAAATACTTTCGCTGATGGTGATGTGCAAGGTTGAATCGATTATACTGAGTGTTTTTAGTTTGAAAAAGTAAATATTTAGTTTAGTGAGAGTAAAGGAAAATATTCTAAGCTTCTGCACCAAAAATATCAAACAAGAAATGACAGCGTAAACTCAATATTTAGAATATTCACTTTCTGCAAACACAAAAAACATGGTTTAAATTTATATTTTCTTAATAGAATTCAGTCATTCAAAGAGAGAGATGGAGTTGATGAAAAACAAAAAACTGTGACTTATATCTTTGAAACCTGATCGCGTAAACAACTGATGCTATTTGTTACTGTGGACATTTTCCACGGGTAAAGCTGGACAATTCCGATAAAATCATTATTTTATACGGCGGGAATGAATATGAATAGGAATGGGTGTTCCTTTTTTTTTGTTCATTCTCTTTCCAATCATTCCAGCCCCGTTCTGTCCCTTGTAGTTCTTTGTGCTGGTTCCCTTGCACACTTACCATTTAATTTATGGGTCGATTCTTTTATATATGCTGGACATGAAAATTTGGTGGAACCCATCCCCTTTTGGACAAAATTTTCAAAATTATTGTTTTGTTCGGATTTGGCATAAATACTATTTTTGAAACATTGAAAAAAAAATTTTTTTTGAAAAAATGTTTATTCTATTGTTTTCCAAAATTTCATAAAAGTTCATAAAAGTTGAATGAGATTTAACAAAAAATCCGCAAAAAAAATCGAATGGAAATCTGCAGTAAATTTTATCAAATTAAAACCTGAAAACTGCTTAAATAGTGCTTCTCATACTTACGAGTTACGAGGTCACATATTGATGTCCCATACATTTTACATACTCCTTAAACCTAGTTTACAGTGGAGCTTGTTATCTAAATATCTGTTGGTTTGATCAGACCTTGAATATTTGGAACTAGGACACATTCCTCGTATTCACTCTTGTATTCTACACCATAGAGATATGCACTTTAATACACGATTTTAATCATTCAACATTTGCAAACTTTGATGATGAAGTAATGAAAATAAACTATTTACAGTGAGACCCAAGAAATTCTGGAATATGAAGACGACATTTCAGCAATCCTGCGTGTAAGACACCCATATTTTTATTGGAAACCCCCCAGAATTTGATTGATGACCTCGTCTTTTCGTTGGAGACTCCCAAATTTTCGTTGGAGGCCTTCATATTATGGTTCTCCAATAAAAATCAACGAGAATCTGGGGTCTCCAATGAAAATATGGGTATTTCCAACGAGAGTCTGAGGGTCTCCAACGAAAATATGGGGGTCTTACACACAGGGAAAATATCATTTCCAAGTAAAAAGCCTAAATTTCTCAAAAAAATATTCTCTCATTTAAGGATCGTTTCACGGTTCGTTAAATGGAAAAGTGCCCAACCCTAGCGTCTATTTCTTTACTTACTTCTAATCTCTTAACAGTACATTAACATTCATAAATGCATTATGAGATTCTACCTTTATTTAATACCATAAAGGGACTGTATACGTGATTTCAAGTGAACTTCTGTATATAGATGGTATAAAACAATACCCTGTAAACCTTCAGTTGATCAGGGAGGAATGAGATATCTTTATATTTCGAGCTGAAAAATGATTATTTTTTGTTGTGGTTTCTCTTCAGATGTTACAAAGGGGTATCGTTGTGAATTAGAGATGCCTCTCTTTCAGGATTTTTTGAAATTGCGTAAAAAGTTCCAGTAATCTTCCAAGTAAGTAGTTTTTCAGACATTTTGAAAACAATTAAATTAAAAATAGGTTGGCTGAATCATTTTTAAACAAGGTAAAAGTTTTTCTTGCCACCCCTTTATCAGAAACAAACTTCCTTTTAATGTTAAGTAAAGTGTAAAACATTTTCTTGAAATTCTTCTTAATGAAACAAGACACTCCCTTGATGGATAACATCATTTCTTTCAACTGTGTCGAGTTAAAGTTTTGTCAAGTCTGTTTAGATATTTAATAATTTCATTTTCAGCTATTTAGGCTATGAAGGTCATTAAAAACATTTGGATAACCATCTTCTTTTGTAAACAAAATTTCTGTCTTTATCTTCTTTGTACCCTCTTTCCCCCCGTTTCCGATATCCCCATCCCCCCTTAGCCCCACCCTAGCTTTGATATTCCCCCCCTTTCTGACCAATTTTAAACACGTTTGTGAACCATATCCCTAATGTAACCCTGTTTCAAAGGTCGTCTCCGACAGATTGTATCTCCGTTGAATACTCCGTACTCCGGCCATCCGCCAAACCAAACCTTGCCAAGGATTTTACATAAATAACCTCATGGATCTAGTAAAACTTAAAGTGCAAAAAAAGAACCTATTTAAACACAATTTTCAGTGAATCATTTACATATAAACAGTGAATCCACCTCCTCCCCCCGGATTAGAGCCTAATTCCCGGACGAAAATGGGCAATTTATTCAGGCTTTGTTTTAGAAAAAGTAAAATGTAAATATTATATTCAAATATTTTCAAACAATACAAATTAATAGAATTACGTAAATGCATTATGAGATGGGCAAAGCCTTCTCCACTTTTTGGTTGTGGTGGTGATGGTTGGGGCTGTGGAAAATGCCTCACTCCTTCTTTGTCTTTATCAGCATAAATGCGCCTGTTTTAATCTCTCACAAACTCTGTCCTCTCTACCTATCCAGGTATATACAATCCATTAATAGCAAGAGACTTTGTTGAACTGTCTATATTTAGATATAGAAAGATACAGGTAAGTAAGTTGACCGCAACTAGGGTCTATTAATTAAAGAAACATATATTTACAGGTTACAAAGATATAAATGAGAAACGTTTATTCATTACATCAGTTTAGAAGTACTCGAAATGTTATTTTAACTTTACCCCCCCTTTTTTGATGCTATTGATATGTCCGAAAGGGGAGTGGGTGATTAAAAAATCTAGGATAGCCTACAGTTATTTCTAATGATTCAGGCTCAGGTCGGACATTTACATTTTGGAATAAGCAATCGAAAAATGTTATTTTCGTAAATATATTTACTATGCAAAACGTTTTTTAGACCTCCCTTAGACGGAAGTAATTGAATTTAGAGTTCTTACATTTATAAAAATAATATGGCATTCACCGATTTAACATAGACTAATCCCAGACAAATTTTTGACTATTAAATGGTATGGGACTGGACTTGGCTTGGGGGAGGGGGGTGGTGGGTCCAGGGTCAATATCAAAGGACATGTATAATGTATGTATAAATGTTAAATCTTGTTTAAGTTTATGGTCTGCAAGGTATCAAGTTTGATTAGTTATCATTTAATCACAAAATTAACCTCATTCCCTTTATTTTGATCGCAATGGTCAATTATTATAAATAACAAATATGCTGGTCTATCAATATCAAGAATAAATTAAATTAAAGATGATTTATTTTAAAAAAATTTCACCGATCAAAAATTCTTTTGCCAGACATTCTCTTCACTGTGAATGCTTTTTATTCTTAAATTGCATATAAAAGCTGTGAGACATTCCACAGTTCTTAATTGGTGCATTGTGAAACTTTTTTTTTAAATATCCCGAAACATTACATTACATATATTTTCCAAAAGATTATAGAGGCTGCATGAAACCTTCAACTGAATTAGTCCAAACAATTTCCGAGGAAATTCTCCAGAATATTCTCTGAAAACCTACACAAAGGAATTGAGTCTTTGCCACAAACTCTGATTTTCTAATCCCTCTCTCTTTGGAACCCAATGTCGTAAACCTTTGATTATTTAAACTTAAATTATTTGATCTAAAATAGAGGTCATAGTTTGAAATGTCAAAGGTCTACGACATTGGGTTGAAAAAATATAAGGAAGAGAAATCAGAGTTTGTGACAAAAACTCAATTCCCTTACGAAAAATCTTTTTTGTAATTCCAAATGCTGAAACTGTAAAATTCAATGTCATAATAAGTCAAACAAAAGCACAAGCAGAACACAGGGATTAGGGGATAAAAGAAAAATGATAAATTAAGTTTTATTTTGATGTTTTTTTTTAATGGGACACCTTAAAGGCTGAAGCTGGAAAAGAGAGTATTGTTGAATGAAATTAAAGAATTAGAGAATGAGAGACTAATCACATAAAATAATAATTTAAACCAAAAAAATTATGTTTACAAATTTGTCATAAATCATTTATGAAACCCAAGATCCTAAAATGGGGTTTACGACGATACTCATTATCTAGGGCTCTGGAGCCTATTAATAATATTTATCCGTCCAAATATACTCTGCGATGCTGACACCTCATATGCGTCACATACGCCCATTAATCTTCCAGTTCCTTTCTTTGCGTCAGGGCTAGAGCAACACTTTTGAATCATATGTTATACGATGATGTTAAAATTAGTTTTAGTATTTATCAGTTTTTCAGTTCATACTTTGTATGGAAATGTCTCAGTACAACTTATTAGGCATGTATGGTTTAATTATTTGGGACTTAAAACGCTTAAAAATTGGAGCACATACTAAAATATATACCAATGAAAAATAAAAAACTATTGAATTATCGAAACATAACATGTTAAAAAATATTAATGAAAAAAAAATATATTTAAGTTAGTTTTTTTTACCCTCCACTAATGACTGGTTTTTTATGAATTTGTTTTATTCTTTTATATGCTTTTAACCGATGTTTTTGTAGCATATATGTTCTTATTTGTTTAATATGTTTTATATTTTTTATATATAACAAGAATTAAAAGACGATTGAAATTTCGTATTTGATCTCTGAAACTTATTATTTGACCTGGAATTTTCAAGTTTTTTATTATTTTCTTTGTATCATCAAATTAACATATAGGTAACCTGTGTACTGCATGGTGCACTGTATAGTGTACTGTATGGTGCACTGTATAATGTACTGTATGGTGCACTGTATAGTGTACTGTATGGTACACTGTACATCATACTGTACTGTATAGGGAACTGCACTGCATACTGTACAGTAAAGTGTTCATCATACTGTACTGTATGGTGTATTTCATAGTGATTTGTATAGTGTACTGTAAAGTGTACTGTATATTTTACTGTGTAGTGTACTGTATGGTGAACTGTATAGTGTGCTGTATAGTGTTCAGTTTAGTGTTCTCTAAAGTCTACTGCATAGTGTAATGTATAGTATACTGTATAGTGTACTGCATAGTGTAATGTATAGTATACTGTATAGTGCACTGCATAGTGTAATGTATAGTATACTGTAAAATGTAATTTGTCTGTTGTATAGTGTTCTGTTTAGTGTAAACTATAGTGTACTGTATAGCGTACTGTAAAATACACTGTAAATTGTACGGTATAATGTACTGTAAAATGTACTGTATAGTAATGTATAGTGTACTGTATAGTGTACTGTAAAGTGTACTGAATAGTGGAATGTAAAGTGTGATGAATAGTGTACTGTAAAGTGTACTGTATTGTGAAAAGTATAGCTTAGGCTATAGTGTACTATAAAGTGTACTGTAAAGTGTACCTTAAAGTGAACTGTTTAGTTTTCTGTTCAGTGTACTGTAGTATTCTGTATAGTGTACTGTAAAGTGCATATTGTAAAGCGTACTGTATAGAATACTGTATAGTGTATTGTATACGGTATAGTGTATTATATACGGTAAAGTGTATTGTATACGGTATAGTATACTGTAAAGTGTACTGCATAGTGTTTGTAAAGTGTACTATATTTTGTACTGTATAGAATATACTGTGTACTTTATAGTGTACTGTATACTGTACTGTAATGTGTACTGTAAAGTGTACTTTAAAGTGTTTTGTATTGTGTATTGTAAAGTTTTCTGTATAGTGTACTGTACAGTGTAATAGTGTATTGTATACTGTAAAGCGTACTGTATAGTGTTTTGTATAGTGTACTGTATTTTGAACTGTATTGTCTAAATCTATGTAAGAAAGTCCCGGGAAAAAAGTTTCTGGAAAAAACCTGGAAATAAAACTTTGGAAAAAGTCAGAATTTTTTCTAGTCCTTGGAAAAAAAAGTCACTGAAATAAAGTCCTGTGTTTTGGATTCCTAGGACTTTTTTCCTAAAATAGTATGGGGGCTGTCAATAAAGTTTCGGGAAATGAGATCACAGGAAATAAAATCCTAAGGAAAATATATCCGAAGAAAAAAAACCAAGAAAAAAGTCCTAAATCTTGTGAAAATGAAGTCGAGCGGTCGAGCCTAAGACATTTTCATAAGAAAGACTTTTTTACGCATCTATACTTTGAATATAGTTATCCGTATAGTGTAGTGTAAAGAGTACTATAAAAGTACTGTATATTGTACTGTATCGTGTGCTGTTTAGTGTACTGTACAGTGTTCTGTATTGTGTACTGTAAGAGTACTGTACAGTGTACTGCATTTTGTACTGTATAGCATCCTGTATAGTGTACTGAATAGTGTACTGTATAGTATCCTGTATAGTGTACTGAATAGTGTACAGTAAAGTATCCTGTATAGTGTACTATATAGTGTACTGTAAGTATACTGTATAATATAATGTATTATGTACTGCATAGTGTACTGTATAGTGTACTGTATAGTGTACTGTATAGTGCACTATATAATTTCCTGTTTAGTGTACCGTATAGTGTACATTATAGTGTACTGTTTAGTGCACTGTATAGTGAAATACTGTATAGTGTAATGTATAGTGTACTTTATAGTGTATTGTATAGATTGTTGTGTAGTGTACTGTATTTTGCACTGTTTAGTCCAACGTATTTTGTGAACTAAAGAATAACCGCCAAAAAGGTTCATTGAATAAAAAGTTTTCCGAAATAAAGTCCTTAATAAAATCCTACCAGTTTTTTCCAGACACTTTTTTTCCTGTGACTTTCTTACATAGATTCAGAGTGTAAAGAGTACTGTATATGTTATGAATATTGTACTGTATTGTATGCAGTTATAGTAAACTGTATAGTGTACTGTGCACTAGTGTACACTGTACAGTGTACTGAATCGTGTACTTCATTCATTCTTCATTTTACCTTTTTAAACATCTAATTTTAAATCTGGTAATTTAATTTTTTTTTTCATTTTAACTTTTCAAAAGAACCTACAAAAAAGCATTAGTTTTTTATTTTAAACATAAATAATTAAAATAACTTAGAAACATTCAAGAATGTAATGCAAGGAAAGGTAATTGCAGTTGCGTATACTATACGTACATATTGAAACCAGTTCTCTCTGGGCGGAATTTGTAAACAAGAATAGATGCCTCAGTGTTCGTTTAATATCCGAGGAGGTTAAAAGCATTTTATTTTGATAATATTGATAATTCACATAATAGTTTCCTATAACCAGAATATTTCATTGATTATTTATGTGAAGGATGGATCCCATTTCAGGCTTCGACATCCGTCTTGTGTTTACATTACTGCCCAGTGTTAGTACACTGCAGTACAAAACATGCGTACACTTCTGAAATAACTTTCCTTGCATTAAATCCTTGGAAACATTTAGATGTATTAAAAAATAGTTTGTGAGCACTGAGCATACAATGGTAAGCCTATATACCAATATATTATAGACGACATTTTATTGAAGCTTTGCTTACTTTCGAGCTTGCAAACATATTGTTTTATGACATATTATGGGATAACTTTAAATAATAAAACATAAGAAATTTAGATTTATTTATTTATTTGTATTTTTTGTGATATTTAACCCAGATATGACACAGCTGGATAAAATATGCAGTACGCACTTATATAACATGTGTACTGCACGTGTACTAAATATCGATCGTGCTTAAATTTAGGGTATACACCCCCCCCCCACACAGTTTATTTAAGAATTTTTCTTTATGTTTCACTACATGTAAAACCAATCAATTTTGTGTCATAAGAAAATATAATTTTGATGACAGCACAAATTTATGCCCGTCAAACTCACAACTTCCCTTTGTTTACATGCAAGGTGAATAGTAGGGAGAACTGCACTAGAATGTCGCCTATATTATATTGGTAATTATGCTTACCGCTGTACTCAAAAATTAATTCACAAATGTCATTGATTATTTTAGTGGTGCTCAATGCAAATCTGATCACGAATGCCCTCCAATTTATAGGTAACTTTCATTCACTTTAAAAAGGGTTTTTGTTTTAATTTGCATTAAAAAAGGTCTGTCAAGTTCTTTATTGGACTTTTCAAGCTTAGGGCTGGGCAAAGTTTTAAACAAAATTTTCAATTAAAAACTAACGGATTTTTTTTTCTTTAAAAACGCAAACGTTGAATTATTTTTAAATATTCCTTTCCAAATCCAAATCATTTTTTGCAAATTTGCAAATTTGTTTGCAGATTCTAAAAGTAGAGCACAAGAGCTTTCCAATGATGTATCATTTGTCATATTTGGACATCAAACATGGGATTTAGAGGGGGGGGTAAAATTGACCCCCCCCCCAGCATATCCTGGTTTTCAAGTACCCCAGCAGAGATAGGCTTAAGAACAGAACCCCCTCATTAGACTATAGCAGGGCTGGACAAAAATCTGTTTATAAAGAAAATTAATGCTTATTCCAATAATGATCGAAAATGCTTTAATGCAAACGAATGAAATGGGAAAAAGTGCTTTAATTATGGACAGCTTTAGCCAACCCCATTTCAATCTTTTTGAATGACCTTCTCTGTTTTATAAATAATATTTTAGTCTGCAAAATAGTTAAATATCCTGTGATAAAACAAGTCAAAAAATGTCAAAATTTTCAAAGTTAATTAAAGTTAGATAGAACGTATTTAAAATAAAGTCATTTTTTGTTGATTAGCATATTTAGTATAAGTGTAAAATATTGTAATTTTAAGCCTTTTTTAATCCTTTTTGTACTTTAGGACATTTTTCAGATAGGTAAGTGGCAACTTTAGTCAATTTAAAACATTTCTTCAACTTGGACAATTTATAATATTGGACATTAACTTTCAACAGTTTGTAAATTCGGATTTTGATTGGAAATGTTGTTATGTAGACAAGTTAAACCAAATTCCAATAGTTCGGGGGGAGGGGTTAGGGAGGGGGGGTATTTAACTGTGACGTATCAGGTTTGCTCAACAACTGGTTTATTTTACATAAACTGCATTCGTCCCGTCCCAAGAGAGTTCCGACCTTGTTTTGAAAGATATGGTAGATCCCTGGTGGTTCTGATGCATCACAGATTGGTTTCATAAATTTAACAAATCCCCCCTGCACCTTGGTTCTAAACACTTGGTACCCAATGCTTCTGGAATAGGAAGACGACTTTTTGACTCAAATTATAAACGACACAGCAATTATAAACAGCAAACTCATTAACTGGATAAGTGATTTAATATTTTACTAGTAACACTTATTGCATTGTAACAATATAAATTAAACTAGATTATTGCTATTATGTCGTCTTCCCATTATGCAGTTTTCTGGTTCTCACTGTATATGTACATTGTAGGAAATATACAAGCTGCTCGGGAGGAAATACACTCCAGTCCTGCCAGGAATACAAATCAAGCATTGGAGCCAGGTAGGTAAATTGGAGCCAGGTAGATAAATTGGAGCCAGGTAGGTAAATTGGAGCCAGGTAGGTAAATTGGAGTTAGGTAGATAAATTGAAGCCAGGTAGATAAATTGGAGCCAGGTAGATAAATTGGAGCCAGGTAGATAAATTGGAGCTAGGTAGAGAAATTGGAGCCAGGTAGATAAATTGGATTAGGTAGATAAATTGGAGCCAGGTAGACATATTGGATTTAGGTAGGTATATTTTAGCAATGTAAATATACTGGATCCCGGTAGATATATGGGAGACATATTGGAGCCATATTGGATCCAGGTAGATATATCGAACTAGTCGTAGCAAGTACAACTACTTTTATCAACTCTGTTCCCAATTTCCTTTCCAAGATAAAACTTTAATCTCCATCCTTTCCCCTTTTTGTTTTGCTAATAATAATTTGTTTATGTTGAATGAAAACAAAACCCTAGAAAACCAAGACGAAGAGTAATTCGTGCTATGAATAAATAATAATTACACGGAGAGAAACTAAATGGTAAACTCATTAAAAATTTAGCAACTGTTACCTCACCACAGACTAACCTTAAAACCTAATGGCTAATATATCTTTTTATTTTCTTGGTAAACATTATTGAACACTTGCGACATTTTCGTCTTTTTAAAATGTGTCTTCAAAGTCAACAAAATATTTTTAAAAACTGTTCTGTATTGAAGTATTTCACTATAACAAAAACTTTAAGATGTAATAAATGTACATTTATTTAATCTTTATACTCTAAAAGCAGTTATTTCAAAAATCATTAAAATTAGTCTTAAGTCCTTATCATTATAATTTAGCAGAATTTAAGGTTGCAAATATGATAAGGTTGCACAGAAATATAGATTTAATTCATGAATGATGAGTTTAATCAGTTACTTTATATTTTAACATCATTAGAGGCTGCATTCATTTAATTTTAGTATAAAACAGGTTAAGAGTCAGACAGGAAGTAAAAACCAGTTAGATAATAATGGCCAGATCCGGCTCAGGCAGTATTTGCTCTGAACCTGTTCTACGTCTAAAAGTTTACATCATAGAATACATACATTAAATATGATAAAATAGAGGTCACTTTCTGTATACAAATATATAGAAGGACACAGATTAGAATGAGCTGATGATAGGTAGATATTCTAAACTTGATTATGTTAGATATTGAGCCAACTAACTCACTATGATCTAATACCTAGATATGAAAATTATGTAACACCATTTGAAACAGAGACAATTGTTTAAAATGTATTGCTAACAAAAATTACCTAAAATGCAGCATTATGCCTTTGACTGTGGTTATCTTATCAATTCCAATGTGATTGTTTCAGATTTAATCTTTGAACAAATTGTGATGGGTAAGAATTTAGAGACGAATGTACAAAATTCGATCATTTAAAAATAAAATTCAAGGCCAAATCAAATTTTATTTTCAAATTGTCATATTGTTGATTTTTACAGTGTACGGTGTACACGTTGATCAGCTTAATATTTTCAAATCTTATTTAAAATATTTGTTTAGATGTGTGACACAAGCTGATGGTCTTTGCCAGATTGGAAGTAAGTTTTATATAGAAAAAGTACCAAAACTTTCAGTAATGTCTCTATTTTTGCAGCTTATAATTATTAAAAATGATCAGGGGCCCTTTTCTAGAATCAGATCTGTTGTAAATTTGAAATCTCATGAGTGACAATTTACAAGTTAAAAAAGAGTAGACGATGAGAATTTGATTGTATTTTGGTAATTCAACATCCATAGACCTGAACAATTGTTAGGTTTTAACCTGCTGGTACTAAATATCAATGTAGAATCACTGGTTTGTAATAAAGTATTGAATATTATTATTGAGGCCTGGCTGACTTTAATCTGCTGGTATTTAATATCAATGTAGAATTATCACTGGTTTGTAATAAAGTATTGATATTATTATTGAGACCTGGTTGACTTTAACCTGCTGGTATTTAATATCAATGTAGAATTATCACTGGTTTGTAATAAAGTATTGAATATTATTATTGAGACCTGGCTGACTTTAACCTGCTGGNACACGGTCATCCTTTAGCATCTTCCCTCTCGAGACCCAGTCATCGCGATGACAAAAATCCTCGGGGGTAAGTACAAATGCATCCTTGAGGGAGTACATTCGTGAGATGAAAGTCCCAAGTCTTACTACCTCCGCGTTAAAGAGGTTCCCGTCATACCCCGCGCAAAAATGGCCTGACTGTTACTTTAATCTAAAAAGGTTTTCTAGACCGAATTTAAAGAATTTGAGCCGTGTCGCTGTACTGTACTGTACTGTACTCTACTGTACTGCCGGTACACATTTGAACCAACAATCGAATTAAAAGATTATTGAAGGATTTGAATTGGTGATTTATAATATTTAAACCGACAGTAGGTGGTTTAGCTAGGTCTAGAATTGGCTAAAATTATTAAAATTCTGAATTTGGTTATTTACTTTAATACGACTGAAAGGATGAGTGGGTCAATAACACCGTTTTGATAAAATTGTTTTTTCCAAATAGTGTTTCTGATTTCTCATATTTTTCCTTTCTTCAAATGTTTCTTCTGTCAATTCTACAATTTATTTTATTTTTATTTACAATATAACTATTTCAGTATATTGCATTTGTTTATCCTTGCAATATTTTATTTTGGCAACTTTCTAAAGGGGTGATGAATGATGATGATTTAAATTATGTCAGAATTAATTTTAAATCCCAATTTTTTTCATTTCCAAGAGTGGACACCCTTTTTGCCAATTTGGAAAAGGAATTGAGTTTTAGCCACAAATTCAAATGTTCTGATCCCTATATCATTGCAACCCAATGGTGTAAACCTGTGATATTTTAAACTACAACTATTTGATCAAACAGAATTCATAGTTTGAAATATTTAAGATTTACGACATCGGGTCACAAAGATATAGGGGTTAGAAAAACAGAGTTTGTGGCAAAAACTTAATTCCTTTACATTTGAAATTCAGCATCAGTCATATTTAGTAAACATTCTCTGTAAATGTGTTTTTCTAGATTTACTAGGAGCTAGTGAGAGATGTATATACAGGCATTGTGCAGAGTGCTTTACTCCAGAGGATTGTGGGGGTACATGTGCAGTCTGTAGGTCAGATAATAATAATAATAGTAAAAATAATTAAGTTATTAATCAAAGATATAATATTATTGATAATAATAATGAAAGATAATGATAATGATAAAATTAATGATAATAATAATGATAGCAATGAAACAAATGATCACTATAACAATAATAATAAACACGCCAATTTTTTTTATATATTTTTGTTTTATTGCTAAATAAAAAATATTTTTAAAATTTTTAAAATTAAAGAAATTAAATAATTAATTGTCTGAATAATATGGATTGGTAATTTATATGGAAATAAAAATCTAAAGTTTTCAATAAAACAAATTGTCATTCTACAGTTTTGCAGGTTTAATAAGTGTTACAATGCGTGCTCTGGAGGCTTCAAGTTTTTTTTTCAAAGAAAGTAGTAATTTGTTTAAATGGTGTTTTGATAGAACAGATTTGGTTACAATTGCCATTTACTTGAAGAAAAAACGAAATCAATTTCAATTTCTATTGATTTTATTTTTTTTTTGAGAGTAAATAACATGTATATAAATAGTAATACAATTTTGCTGTACACAATTCCTTAAAATATATATATTTATTGTGAATGTTTTATGTGTATCAGTTTGTTATGTACATTATCAGTTTGTTATGTACAGTATTGCATGTTTGTTGTTAAATAAAAAAAATTAAGTTTGATGTTTTTTTCTCTCACAAGAACAAGATAGACTTTTTAAAGCGAGTGTTGAAACATAAATGTAAGTCTAAGAGATGTAATTTAGACTGTTTCAATTGATCCCCTGCCCTGGATAAAATAGAAAAATGGACGTATATCCCGTTGAAATGAATGGATAGGGGGCCATTTTGCCCAAAACCCTCCACCCCAATGCTAGAAAAAAACCTACTGATTAGTAATTTTTGTTTTTTAATCTGATCCACCAATTGAAAATTCATTTGCTCTGGGACTGAATTGAATGAATTTGAACAACTTACCGCCATTTTAAATCATGATGAGTTGAGACAAGTCTTTTAACTACCTACACCGCAGGTTTAAATCGTTTAACTACCTACACCGCAGGTTCATATTGTTAAACTACCTACACTGCAGGTAAATCGTTTAACTACCTACACCGCAGGTTTAAATCGTTTAACTAACTACACCGCAGGTTTAAATCGTTTAACTACCTACGCCCCAGGTTTAAATAATTTAACTACCTACGCCGCAGGTTTAAATTGTGTAACTACCTACACAGCAGGTTTAAATCGTTTAACTACCTACACCACGGGTTTAAATTGTTTAACTACCTACACCGCAGGTTTAAATCATTTAACTACCCACAACGCAGGTTTAAATCATTTAACTACCTACACCGCAGGCTTAAATCGTTTAACTACCTACACCGCAGGTTTAAATCATTTAACTACCCACAACGCAGGTTTAAATCATTTAACTACCTACACCGCAGGTTTAAATCGTTTAACTACCTGCACCGCAGGTTTAAATCCTGAATCACTGATTCAGGTTTAAATCATTTAACTACCTACACAGCAGGTTTAAATTGTTTAACTCACTACACAGCAGGTTTAAATCGTGTAACTACCTACACCACGGGTTTAAATCGTTTAACTACCTACACCGCAGGTTTAAATCATTTAACTAACACAACGCAGGTTTAAATCGTTTAACTACCTACACCGTAGGTTTAAATCCTGAATCACTGATTCACTCTCCATTGTATCACCTTAAACCGCATGAATCTTTAACTTTGAATCAAAGATTCAGAATTTGAATAGGCAGTGGCCGTTGAACCACATCTCGCGACTCATTATATCCAATCCCTGATAAGTATTTTTTGAACAGTGAAGATAAATAAGTGTCAATTATTTTCTGTCGCCTTAGTGTTTTATTATTCATATTAATTACCAAAACATATTTTAATAATTTAGCATAAAAGAATGATCTGCAATTTATTAAAAAACCATGAAAATTATTTAATTGATAGTTATGAATTATAATTGTAATGTTTAATTTAGCTAAAATCATAATAAAAGAAGGAATTCTCAGTTGAAATTCAAATCCGTCACAAAGAGTTTATATTATTAGAACAGTTAAATCTCTGATTACCAAGTATATAAAAAGTGGCAACAAACTATTATTGATATTTTTCCCCTCAGTTCTTAAAGAAACTTCTGACGTAATTTAAAGTAATAAACTTGATGTAAACATTTGTCGATATCATGAATAAGATAATATTATTCATTAGCCAAACTATTATCGTGTTCATGGTTGAGGGTTCACTTTAAAATTAGTATCATTGTTAAGATTTAAGTTTCCAAGAATAGATAATAAGATACTCCAACAGCGTTTTAATAGATAAAAATAATTTTGCAGAAAGGATTTTTTTATTGATTATTAATTCTTCAGATTGATTTTATATTATTGTTTGAAGTTTTTCTGTAAATTTAATAAAAATGCATAAATGACATTAAGCTGCTATTTGCAGTTTTTCCGAAGTATGGAAGTTTTTTTTGTGCAGAGTACGGATATAATAATTCGCAAAACTCAAACAAAAGACGACATATTACTTAAATCCGGGAAATATTTTCGAGATGCATTAATATGTTCGTGTTTTAAATATTTTTAACTTTGATAATTGCTACCAGCTGAACAGATCCCAGCTAATTGAAAATAAAAATGTTAAAAATCAATTTTTCAGTCTAGATTACAATTTATGAATTTGGTATGAAGTTGGCGTTTTTAGCTTGCTTTTTAGGTAAGTAACACACCTTTGGATTAATCAAAAAAAATTTGAGAACAAAATGTCTAAGTAAAACAGATTATTTTGATATTTTGGAGCTATTGGAAATGTTTAGAAAACGGGGATGGCTTGAATCAGGGAGAGAGAAAGACCCCCACCCCCCCACTCCCTCATTAACATTTATTATTCGTAATTAACTAATCAAAGTGTTTAATGAATATACTAATTAAATGAATTGAACATAATAATAAGCCTTTTATAAAAATATCTTGTTTAATCTATTAGCAAAGAATTTGATTTCATAATTTCTGATTAAATATAATTTACAATAAAACCTTGGTTTTTACCATAGTTTCAATTTTACTCTTTAAGATTAGGGTATGGGAAGGGTTTTAAATTATATGTACAGGACCAAAGGGGTGGGTGTCGTTGTAGGGCCACTACCCGGTTTCAAAAATATCTAATTTTTTTTAAATAAAATTTTTTTATGATGAAAGTAAAAAAAATAAGACCAATCCAAGACTACAATCATTCCGCTTTAAAGGGAGTGACCGGTTATGTAAGGTAGTTGAACTGAGTATGCAGTGTCGTGGAAAACTTCTTTCGGATTCATTTTAGACATATTAAGCTTTTCAAAGATCTGTAAATCCTGAGTTTGATTTACAGATCTTTTAAAAGTTTAATATGTCTCAAATGAATCTAAAAGAAGTTTTCCACAACACTGCATACTCAGTTTAACTACCTTACATAGCCGGTCACTCCCTTTAAAGTGGTTATCATGGTTTACACTTTACATTATCAGCAGATAACTAAGTTATCTTTTTTTCAGAGATCACCCTGAAAGTCTCAGCTATAGCAAGTAGGATTATCATTATTTTAATTTATTCTGTAAAAGTACATGAGATTTTTTAAAGTCATAATATAAAAGATATTGGTTTTCTAACATCTTTTTTACAAACTGTATTGTGTTGATGAATAAGCAGCTTATTACATAATGTCAGAGTTTCAGAATGTCTTTTGACACATTTTTAATTACGAAAAAAGTTACTATTCTCTGATTCTAGACTTACACAGAGAGTGATACCAAGGAAAGTTATTTCAAAGGTGTACACATCTTTTGTACTGCAGTGTACTGTCTCTGGGCGGTAATGTAAACACAAGACGGATGTCGAAGCCTGAAATGGGATCCATCTTTCACATAAAAAATCGATGAAATATTCTGGTCATAGGAAACTATTATGTGAATTATCAAAATTTTCAAAATTTAATGCTTTTAACCTCCTCGGTTACTAAACGAACAGATGCATCTATTCTTGTTTACAAATTCCGCCCAAAGAGAACTGGTTTCAATATGTACGCAGAGTATACACGACCGCAATAAACTTTCCTTGCCTTACATTCTTGAGTGATACTGAGTTTACTTTATACACCTGAGCCCAAAACTTAAGACAGGGTATCGTTATTAAAACCAGTTCTAAAACCCCCGGTTTTATGAACGGGGTTAAGGAGTTTTGTGAAAATAAATATTTTTGTTATAGAAATATTATATAATTCAGTTTGTTTATAGTCTCCATTTTTTTCAAATCTCTGAAAACAAAATCTACACAAGTGTTAAGACCCCAAAAAGGAAACTCAGGAGTTTCGTTCAACGATACTCTTTTAAATTTCAGGCTCTGTTATATTTGTTAAAACAAAGTACATACCTTCTAACTTTCACTGTAAATGGCAATTAAATTTTTACCTTGATAATGTTCTAATCCTTCACAATGTTTTGAGTTTTTACTTAATTGAGTTCAGAATGTAAGGTTTTTTTTACTGCAGGAGATTGTTTTTGATTCAATATTAATAAAGTACAATGATTATACTCCCTCGATTGGCACATTACTATGTACAATACTATGTAAAGTACTATGTACATTACTATGTAAAGTACTATGTACATTACTATGTAAAGTACTATGTACATTACTATGTAAAGTACTATGTACATTACTATGTACGGTACTATGTACAGTACTGTGTACAGTACTATGTACAGTACTATGTACAGTACTATGTAAAGTACTATGTACAGTACTATGTACAGTACTATGTAGAGTTATATGTACAGTACTATGTACATTACTATGTACAGTACTATTTACAGTACTATGTACAGTTCTATGTACAGTACACAGTACAGTACTATGTACAGTACTATTTACAGTATTATGTACAGTAATATGTACAGTACTCGAATGAACCGGAATAAATCAAAGGTATTTTTAAAGACAAAAACAATGCGTTTATTGTAATACGCGGATACTTTATAAATACGTTCAGTTTTGTTTTCAATAGATAGTGTTGAAGAAAAAAAAGACGTTTTGAAATATTTATGGGAAAAGTACGTTGAATATTTTTAATTTTGGACAAAATCCTGTCTACTATTGCAAGTCTTTGAGACATAGTGAAACAGATGTTTGCATGAAAAAAAAACTTTAGCATAGTGAGATGGGAAAAAAAACTCATGCTAGAGAAAACGAGCCTTTATTCAGGACAGGGTTGAAAAAAATCTAATATGTTGTAGTCCTAATAACCTTGAGACATTGTGATATTAATTTCATTATGATCGGGTAATAATTATGTCTCCGAGAGAAAGAAGTATTTTCTTCCTTTATTACCGGAAACAGGTTTGAAGATATCTTATTAAACTTGTGGATTATAGAATGTGGAAAGCCGGAAGTCTCAGAAGAAGACAAATTGGATCCCGTAGGATTGGAAATATCCAAGATGTTGAGTCCAGAGAATAAACCTAATATTATTGAAGAAGGTTTGTTTTTAATATACTTATGAATACATAATAGGGTTTTTAAAAATTAAAAGATATCACTTTTGCATAACTTTGATGAATCTAAAGATAATATTTTATTTTGTCGATTTTCTGAGTATTTTGACAAGGAAAACAATTTTATCTATGAAACTCCAAAAATTATCAAGATTTTATTTGACATTTTTTGGAATAAGTCATTTTTCAGGAAAAGCTAAAAAGAAGAAGAAGAGAAGGAACAGCTGTAAGTGATAAGAAAAAATTTGTGAAAAATGGATCAAACAAAATTATTTTTCATATTTTTAGTTTTTCGATCGAAAGCTGCTCTCACTCCAGAAGAAACTGTATCAGACAGTATCTACAAGAAATTAAAAAATTTGCCCTGCAAAGAGGTTTGGACGACCAACGTTTATATAGTAAAGCTCCTCGCTCATCACATATCTTACTATGTTTATCTCATAAAAAATTCATTGTTTAAAAGTGACTTTCACATTTCTTCTGAAAATATAATTGGAGGAAATTATTAGTAATAAACAGTTTTCAAGCGACATCATTCACATTCTTGGTTGGATAAAAATGTTAATCGTTGTTATTACATGGAAGGTCCCTGTAATGGTTTCTCACTTATGTATTTTCCAATTGGAGAGCAATCCCTTGAAAAAATGATCATATTTCACTTCTCGTGCATTTCATTTAATACTTGTTTAAGGGGTGTGGAACCTTCAGTCCTGAATGGAGACCATCCTTTGATACTGTAGTGGAATTGTTCCAAGGACTAGAAACTGATCCCAGAGTGGACAATGATATTGGAACATACATGGAAATATTTCAAGATGTTTTAGAGAAACTCTACGAAAAAGAAGGGGTAGGCATCTATATGTATAAAGTAGTAATCTCTGCTTTCTGTTTGTTTATCTGTCCGATTATTACTCAGAAACCCCTTTACCAATTTGCCTAATGTTTTGATGGAGAACTCGAAAGAACTAAGGGAATGTTCTTTTCTTGGTTTTAAGATTCTAAGTCATGACTCATGAATGGGTCCACTTTAAAGAAAAAAATAGCTAAAATCGTAATTTGTGATCAAGCGCGGGTAAACAGCGGGAGTAACCATGAGTGACTGGGCAACGCTGGGTTTTCAAGCATTTTTAAAATATTTTTTGGAAGAGAAGAGCTCATTACTTGTCTCAATCTCAAATTTGAATCCCTATATCTGTGCTACATTTTATACAACCTGTATAAGATGCATGCAGTTTACAGAACACAGAATGTATATCAACCTGAAATTCAAACTTGAAATAAAAAAGGAAATTTTTAATTTATTTATAAATTGAAGTTTATTTAACTAGGTAAGAGAAAAACTGGTAAAATCTGCATACTTGAAAGCTCTGAAATTTAGGTAAATGCTTGAAATATATATTATACAATATTTAGTTTCAAAGATAAAATTGTTCAGTTTTTGTTTTTAGAAATGATACAAAAGGAATTCATGTTGACCCTGCCATGATCTTTCCTACACTTGAAACTAAAAATGTAAAAACAACTCCTGGTTTTAGAGGTATTCATGATTATCATGATTATCATGATTATCATCATTATCATTATTATCATTATTATCATCGTTATCATCAATATCATAATTATCATTATTATCATAATTATCATAATTTTCATTATCATAATTATCATTATTATCATTAATATCATCATTATCATCATTTTCATCATTATAAACAAGATAAGCTTTTTTTTAGCATCAAGTAAAAGTGAAGTTCCTTGGGAGAAGTTAAAAAAAACTCCTTCTCGTGTGTTGGGTAAACTTCTTTCTTCATAAAACATGTTTAAATTAGTTAAAATAATCAATATGATCTTGTTCTTAAAGGTGAAGACATCAAACTGGACTTTTTCAGGTAACTAGGAATTTTTTATATTAATCTAGAAATTTTGAGGGAGGCCGGAGGGGGGGATGATTATGTTGACATTTTTTTATAACGAAATGTTCAGGGAGGATGACAGTCTTCATGTTTTTCATTACACCTTCCATGCCATGAACTTTGGAAAAGCAGATAGAGGACCAAGACCAAGAGAAAATGAACATTTTTTCTATCTTCACAGGCTGTTTCTCTACAGGTAATCTTAGCTCTAAACTAACCTCACCCTGTAGAAGTACAACTTATTTTTTATTTTTGCTTGTTTAAGAAAATCTTGTATACACTCTTTCGGTGTAAAAATTTGGTGGAAAAATACAAAATACAAAAAGAGAGTCGGCTGAGTTGTATCTCTACAATACATATAAGGAAACATACAGATAATGTTGTATCTGGATTAATACTTACTTGAGCATAAAAGGGAGTGAGCATTAAGGGAGTAAGGCATTTGTTACATGTCTAATACTAATCCGGTTTTATACCCACTTCACCCAGCGATTGGAGCCCTTTCTGGAAGGGTCCTGTCACTACTCCTTGAGAAGAGCTGATAAAAGGGGACAACTATGCATTCTGCGTGCAGCGGTGCACACTAAATGGGATACTTCCTAAGGAATTCCGCTTGACTGGGAAACAGTATAACAAGTGGACAAATGGAGTGATTTTAACAAAACACTCCTTATATGCCACTCCTACAAATTCTTATTCTCATCTCCACTCTCCTCTACCTACTATCTATCCTTCTCACAAGCAACAAAATGAGAGGTAAGGAAATTTCTCTGTTGGATCCTACTACAAAATTACCTCTGAGATTATTCTTTGTTGGAATATCAACCTTCCTTTTACAGGAAAGTAAAAATGTGCGGTTCAAAGCAGGGAAGCTATTGCTCCCTTGCTGTAAATAGAAACTAGTTTAAAGATAGGAGTGGTGACCTAGCTGCAAGTAAACAGGCTGCAATTACAATAAAGCAAAACAAACAAATAAAGAGGGGGACATCTATTCAATGAATGGGTGGTCCTGTACTGGCTTTAATGGCAAATAGACAACGTCCCGTAAACATTCTTTCAAAAGCAGCACTATAAATGGACAGGTAAAGGAAAGCAAGAAAGAAACCTGCAGACGTGCAGTTGGAGAAAGGAGAAAAAGATGAACATATGAAAATGTTATCTGTGCCTTGTACCCTTTTATTTTATAAAAATTATTAAAAAAAAACGTACAAAAATATAAATATATAAATTTAAATTCTTTAAATATTTTAATACTTATACTAATAATAAATAAAATGCGATTTTGTTAATTTCTATGCCGAACCGGCGCGGCCCAACAAAATATGGACAAAGCTCCTTAGCAAACAAAATTTTTAATTTTTTTGTTAGATCAGATGGTATCTTGAACAGCAACAATTTGTTTTGTTTATTTGTCTCACCAGCCACAAACCAATAGTAATCGCAAAGACCAAAAACAACCATCAAGTCATATCACAACTGCCATGTTTAATGCCCAGCCCTCTCATCATGACCATGTTTGAAGATATTTTGATGAACGAGATACTGAGGAAGCAGGTGTCATTACTCCTTTAAATAGTTCAGCCAGGGAAACTGAATTCAAGTAAGTGTTTTTCTTGTCTAAAGTTGTTTTTTGAAAGTCTCATTACACTGTTTTAGCACCACTTGGGCAACCGCCATAAATTCAACATTTAACACCAACTGGTGGCCAAAAATTGGCAACCATTTATTCCCTAAATCAAAAAGATAAATGGGAAAATTAGTTGAAATCATCATTTTGAATATTGAACTAACTAGTGTACAGGATTAATTTCAATAATTGATTAACATTTTTAAAATATTGATTTGCTCACAGGTTTAAATAGTTTGCCGTCTTAATAGATGGCTTAAACTTAAAATTAGCAAATCACTTTCAAGTTTTGCAATTGTTTAATTTTTCTTATCAAACGGTGTTCTTCTGAAATCAAAATATTGATATTCACGGTGTTAACTTGAAAGATTTTTTTTGGTGTTATGTTACATGTTGACATTAATCAATTTTGTTTTTTCTTTGATCGAAACGCCATGATGTGCCACTTACGTAAATAGTAATTTTGTAATTATTTTATTATTATTTTAATTTGTGGTTCCTCTGCAAAAATAAAAACGTATTTCTTGTTTCTGAAACATAGGATAAACAATCAAAATTAAACACATTTTTAAGGAATAGTATAAGCGTAATTTCAAGTGACCTTTTATTTCTTGAGGAGCATCCCCGATTTACAACTGTACCCTTTAAACCTTTGACTGATGAAGGATGTTGGACATGTGACTTGTAATCTACGTAAACGCTTTTGATTGTTGAACACTTTGTCAGCAAGCAGTCATGTATGTCAGTAATATGAAAACCTATTTTCTAATTGTGGCAGAAAATAAAAATTTACTTTTGAATGTTTGATAATGCTGTCAATAAAAAACAGTCAATCTACTTTCGAGTAACCGATCAGCTGTTTAAGTTCAGACTGTAAACAGCGTACAGTCGCATACTTTCGAGTAACCGATCAGCTTTTTAAGTTCAGACTGTAAACAGTGTACAGTCACATACTTTCGAGTAACCGATCAGCTGTTTGAGTTCAGATTGTAAACAGCGTACAGTCACATACTTTCGAGTAACCGATCAGCTTTTTAAGTTCAGACTGTAAACAGTGTACAGTCGCATACTTTCGAGTAACCGATCAGTTGTTTTAGTTCAGACTGCAAACAGCGTACAGTCGCATACTTTCGAGTAACCAATCAGCTGTTTGAGTTCAGACTGTAAACAGTGTACAGTCACATACTTTCGAGTAACCGATCAGTTGTTTGAGTTCAGACTGTAAACAGCGTACAGTCACATACTTTCAAGTAACCGATCAGTTGTTTTAGTTCAGACTGCAAACAGCGTACAGTCGCATACTTTCGAGTAACCGATCAGCTGTTTGAGTTCAGACTGTAAACAGCGTACAGTCACATACTTTCGAGTAACCGATCAGCTGTTCTAGTTCAGACTGTAAACAGCGTACAGTTGCCTTTATAGAGGAGCTCAAGCTGGTTATGATATGATGATGAGAAAGATCTCTCTACTTAATGAACAGTCAAAGGTTTCAATGGTACCATCATCTGTGTTTGAATGGCCACTTGAAGTTATGCTGACAGTCCATTTAAACTGGGAAAACGACTTTATCTTCAACAATAATGATCAAATATTAATAGTGTTATTATATCATGGGTACCATTGTACATCAGACATGCCCTTAATTTACATTACAACATGAGGACTCAATTAAATAACAATATAAATTCTGTTGGCCTTGGATCCTTTTATAGAGTTAAGTACTTTGTTAAGTTGTTGTACGGTAAATGTTTGTGTTTAAAACTCAATTTGAGGAAAGAAATCATTGTTTTTCTTTCTTACAAATAAATATTTTCAGTAAATTTCATTTCTTGTCTTGTTTCTGCTAAAAAAAAAACACACAAATGGATAATTTTAATATTGTAGTTTTTTGACAGAAAAAATCGAGCATATAATTTTTCTTGGGGAAAAAATGTTTGAAATGTTTTTTTATGAATTGAGCTTAAACTTAAACTAATTTAGAGTCACTTAAAAAATTTGTTAATAAAAATTGTTTTTAGTTCTTATTATTCCATCACTCCTCAGACAGATCCTACAAAGTCTTTGCACGCAGATTTTGTCAGGTTAAACATTTTCTATAAAAGCATTTAAATTCAATGACAACCATGAAAATCCTTTAAAAAAATATTTTTTGAAAATTGAAAACCGATCGAATATCTTTAATGTCAATCATGAATTTACAATTTTTAAAAATAGATAAATATTTAATTTGGAAAATTCAGTTATTATGTAAATAAATGAATTAAATTGGTATAATTTTTACTATAATAAAATTGAAAATATGTGATAAAATCTTTTTTTCGATCTTGAGGTTAAAATGTTATGTAATCAACTTTTTTGAACTTTTTTACTTTGATCTAAAATATTATGAGCTCTAAAATTCATAATATTTTGTATTTATTATAGTTTTCATTAATAGTAATAAGCCGACGTGTAGGATTTCTGAAAAAACAAGTGAGATTTTTCTTAAATTCATGAATTTTAAATACTATTAACAAAAATGAAAAACAAACTTTTTTATTGATTAGATAGTATAATAAATAAACTGGAAACACAGTGTGATAGGTAATTTAATCTTTTTTTATTTCTGCATACATTGCTTGGTGAAGGGTGGACTAAATGATTGTATATTTCATTTAACGTATATCTCTAATAAAAATTTAAATTTATCAAGATTATGGACACCATCAACTATTAATTTTAAAGACCAAGAACAGCTGTTCCCAAATATGTATTATGGCCTAAAAAAATAAATTATTTTGTGCAACCTTTTAAACTAAACATTTTAGCTCGCTGGCAGAAATGAAGGACAGTATTGAAAAGTATGGAAAACAATGTATGGATTTTCACAATTATGGTCACGATCTGATGAGGTAGTAATTTACTTATCCATTATTTGTTTTTGGGTGAAATTTTTTTATTTTCATTGTCAATATTTTGTTCTACATCATTTTTTTTTCTGGGACCAGAATAGATTTAATGAATCATGTGAGATAATTGAACCTTGTAGACGGGGTTAAACTACTTCTCTGCAGCTTGGCTTGGCACTAAAGTAATTGTGGTTCAGCTACTAGTAATACTTGCTATTTATTAGATATGGTCCAGGAAAATTCTGTAATTATTTACTTTTGTTCTTTTTAGAAATTTGGTTGATTTCTCAATATGTTAAACAGAAAAATTGTTGAGATAAATATTTGCAAAGTCTGCATTAACCACAAAATATTTTTAAATCTCCATTTTCCTCAATTTAACTAAAAAATTCTCATGGCTCTAATCATTGCATTGCATTCTTTTATCATCATTTCTCTCCTTTTTTCTTTTTTCTTTTCCATCTGTTGACTGTCCTTGATTCTAATTATTTTGTCTTTGACACCTCTCCCTCCTACCTTCTTGACTAAGAATGGAACGAGGGAAGGAAAGGTTCTTGACTTACAACGGAATGGGGGATAGAACCATTCTTTGACTAAGAACACCAAGAACAGAACGGAACGGGATGACCGTTTTTCAACTAAGAACAAAACGGAACGAGACAGAAACGGGACAGAAGGGAACGCGAAAGGAACGATTGTAAAAAAAAGGAAGGAGAAAGGAATGATTTAGCTGTATGCCCTGGTTCTAGAACGTAACAGAACGATTTAAAACAAGTTGGAAATTGCCCATCCCATTAGGTGAGGGGTCATATGGGAGGATGGGTTAGGAAATTATTTCAAATTTATTGTCCACAGCAATCCATTCCTTGCAGACGACAGAAGTAGAGAACCAGTATTATTGTGCATGGTTCAAAACCTCTCAGGATTCTGTTTTCTATTTTTCTATTTTTCTTGTTTCTGGCGAGAGAGAGGGAAAGAAATGGATAAAATCCCCGAACTCTGTAATGTTTTCCTTGTTTTCCATAGTAGGGTGTAGGCCTCCATGTTTTATTTTACACGGAGCTCTTTGGCTGCATAGTCTGTGCAGCTGTAGACAATAAGTAAGTAAGTAAGTTGTTAAGGTAAAACAAAACGCCGTTCCGGCATTTTACAGTTGATGTCGTCTAAAAATGTTTCAGCCTAACTTGTGTATAGTCTATATCTCAGTGCCAACACCTTTTAATCAACAAATGTAAGTTAAAAAGATATATTTGAATTTTTTTTAATTGATGTCCCCCCTCTTACTAACCCCCCAACTGCTATAATCCCCAAATTTTAGGAAATTAAATTTTTAACAAATGAATGATTCTAGTAACGACTGCAAATCCGGAGGGAGAGGCACCTATGGACTCTTAATAGACAGTGAAGGTAAACACGGAACTTAGAGGGACTTCAGACACATATTTTTTGTTCAATTTCCATTATAAAATAAAAAAAGATATTCCAAAAAAACCTACATTTATTTCAGTTTCAGCTAGAGATCCTTTGTTTTATAGGTAACCTTCCTTAAAATAAAACACTTACTAGTAACCTTATTGTAATGTGAAATAAAATGTTTTTATTCCAAAAATATAGCATTAATATCTTTTACTTAAGGTGGCATTATGAAGTGGATATAAAATATGATAATTTCTTGGTAAATATAAATTCGTTTTTTTTAAGAATCATTTGTTTGTTAAACCACTTATTGTTATACATAGTTTCCCACTAAAATGTATATAATGATTAGTATAATGAATATAAAAGATGGTTTACAGTGTATTTCATCTGTTTTTAACTGGTCAATCTCATTAAATATTGTCTTTAAAATAGCATGCTTATTGGGATGCACTCATTATAATTGTTTGCTGTTTGCCCCACACATATTAGTTTACTAATATAAATATTCCTTTTGTAGAAGATTCAGACCCCCTATACCAGAGAACAAGTGCAGCCAGCAAAGGGTATGTTCTGTAAAACAAATAAAAAAATGTTTTAAGTAATTTGTTCCAGGCATTACTGTATCAAATGTAGCTCTTGAATCAAGATGTAGTTCTCCAAATCAGGTTTTTAGAATTTTTAATAAATTCTATGTGATAGAACAAGTTTTACTAATTCACAAAACAAATATGTTATTTTATAGAGCTGAAAGAAATTGCAACATGTTTTTAGAATAAACTGTTCTGTTCTTGGTTGGGCTTGTTATTCTTTAAATGGAAAGCCATTACTTTAAAATACATTAACATCTCTTTTAAGATTAACAAATATAGGTACCTGTACAAACCTCGGACCCACAAACGTCAGACTCTTTTAAGCTCAGGCAGTACAAACATCAGACTTACAAACGTCTGACTGCGACAAACGTTGGACTTATACCAGTATAAAAGTCAGATGGGTGCATTTATAAGGAAAAATGACAGACTTTGGTTCAGTTAAAAAAAAAACACATTGTTCTAAGAAATAATTATTGTGATAAAATCAGAGATAAGGGATGTTTTAAAGTCAAAATCTTTAAGATCAAACAGTTTAAGTTTGAAAGTATCGAAGGATATTACCATCAGGCTGCAAAGATATAGGAATGAGAAAATTTAAGTTATGGGCAAGAACTGAGTTCCTTTAGGTAGATTTTAATTAGACCATGTGTTTGTACCAGTCCGAAATTTGTACTAGTCGCAGGTTTGTACTGGTTTGACGTTTGTACTAGTTTCAAGTTTGTACCGGTTCGACGTTTGCACTAGTCTCAGGTTTGTACTGGTTCGACGTTTGTACTAGTTTCAGGTTTGTACTGGTAAGACGTTTGTACTGCATGTCTGAGGTTTGTAAGTCTTTGGTTTGTACCGTACAATGTTTGTTTGTATGACATTTGTATTGGTACCAAAATATAACCTCATAATATCATTTGTAATAAAAGTAAAAGGTGGAATAAATTGAGAAAATTGATGATACTATAGTTCTAGTGAAAGATGCATATATTAACTAACAAAATAATCATTTTCCTGATCATAAGCTTTAATCAGGTGGAAACTTTCTGGGAAATGAAAACATCAAGATATCAGCTCAATCATATGGATTATCTAATCAAAATAAGGTTGGACTTTGGACAAAGGAATTGAGTCTTTGCCACAAACACTGATTTTCCTATCCCTATATCTTTTTAACCTGATGGCGAAAAGCTTTGATATTTCAAACTAAGGTTATTTTATCTAACAGAATTCATAGTTTGAAATATTTTAAGTCTACGACATTGGGTTGCAAAGATATAGAGATTTAAAAATCAGAGTTTGTGACAAAAACTCAATTCCTTTGAATTATTATTATCTTGCCCAGACTAAGTTAATATCAAATCATCTGAAGGCATGCTTATAATAGACTGAACACTTTTTATCTTATGGGCTACATCTCTCATATAGGTCGTACAGTCTTTATGCTCTAAAGGTTTATCAAATGAGAGATTATAAACCTCTATTGATTGGCCAGACCCGCATAGCCCAAAAATCAACCAGCAGGCTTCCTGCAACTTAGATTCTGATAGAAGAGTACATTTTTTTGGGAACAAACTAATTAGTGTACATAAAATGTATAATTTATCATTTTTGGTTATTTATAATTATATATTACTGTTTTGAACTAAAGCAGAGAAAATTATTGTTTGTATTTTAGTTTAAAGAACAGTGCTGGTTTGATGGATAAAGTGATCATAAGGGTTTTCCTGGTAAAGGAGAAATTCATGTAAGTTTTGCTTTTTTTATGACAGTTTAGAAGAAATTGGACAGTAGAATCTGAGCTGAAAACTTTAGAACTGTGGATATTGAGATTAATGCTTGATCCTCTCTTTTTCTTAGTATAGAGACTAATCTGATATTGTACTTGTATCCTGAAAAGTGTATAAAATTCAACCAATCAGAGTCATGCGCGCCATTTAAAGTTATATACAGAAATGGGAGGAACTCTCTTATTTAAAAAAAACGGTTTTGATTTTTCTCTACTATATCCAAGAAAGAATTGTTTAAGAAGAAAATCAAAAGTGTGTCCATTGGATACTCAGATCAAGTAATCAGGATTAAGAATATCTCATTCTAAAGTTTTCAGAGCCGAAAACTTTAGAATGGGATATTCTTAATTCCGATCGGTAAATTAATCTGGAGATTAAAAAAAAGAGGAGAACAATCACTGTTTAATCTCAAGATTAAGAAAAAGAGTGGATCAAGCCATAATCCCAATCTCCACCATTCAAAATTTCCCAGCTCAGCTCTGATTACATATATATTTTTACCTAACTTTTTTGTGTTTTGATTGAGAAACACTTTCAAACTACAGCCTACTTTTTTAGTGCTGACACCAAGTACTATTTTGAGTTGGACAGATTTACACAAAATTTGACTGGAGCTCCAGAAGAAACCATTATTAGATTTGATAATCAAAGTTCTCTCACATGGAGGGTAAGAAGAGAAATTTTTTTTTTAAAGTTATGAATCCATTCCTGCTGCACATGAGGACTAGGTTCATTTTAAATTTGAACCAAAGGGACCAATTGTACCAGCATTTGTAACGCACAACCAAGTATCAGTCCAACCCTATTTATATTAGTTTGTTTCGACTTAAACGGCACAACCAGAATTTTTACAGTACCTTGTCTGTCAAAGGCCTTTTTGACCAACAAATCAAGCTTAGTTTAATGTTGCTGGTCTGTTGGAGTTCTTCATGGGTGAATTAAAGTGGGAGGAATCTCCTCCATATAATTGTAAATATAAATCCACAATTTTTTTGATGGGATGGTGTGTAGTTCGGAATTTTTTAAGCCATTCAAGCACATTTTTTTTATGACGAAATACTTCTAAATGTTTAAATCATCCAGGAGAGAAAGAAGAAAAGTCAACGCTGATACAAAAAATAAAAATATTTCAGTTTTCTCTAATGTTTGATAGAACTTATTGATTGAATTATATTGGATCTAGAAAAAAGATGAATGTGGATGGCCCACTTCTTTGCTTCTACCAAAAGGGAAAAGCATGACTCCAATAAAATACAGGTAAACAATATGAAGATGAGAAGAAAAATTTAATTTTATTTATTTTCTTACATATTTAGACTTGTTGTTTTTGTGCATGACCTTGAAAATCAAGCTATAACAGAAGGACAGAACAATGTACCAGAAATGTGAGTTTTCAAAAAAAAATTTTTTGGTGGGGGGTCTTGGGGAATACCTGATCTTGGTTAACTGAATTTTTTCATTTATTTATCCTTGGGCATATATGTCTAGCAACACATTAAAAGTAATGATGGGGAGAGGGGGGCGGGGGGTTCAAATCACCCAAACCTTTAAAAATATGAAAGGGACAAACAAATTGAATTAATTCACAATAATTGGCAAACCATTTACCTGCTTTGTTAGATAGAGCAAATTTTGAAAAGAGAAAATGTTCAATTTTTGCACATAAACAATTTTTTGAAAATTATTTTACCAGTTTTTGCAGAAAATTTTTATCTTAATATTCATATTTTGCAGACCATGTGGATCATTGGTAGAAGACCAGGTTCCTGATCCTCGTCCTCATGGGTTTCCCATAGATCGCCAATGGACTGGCATAAATCTGTTGGATGTTTTAAACAACAAGGATAGGTCAGATTGGATATTATATTCTAGTATATATGGATATTGGATGTTATTCAATGCATTCTCATAAATTTACTCAAATTACTCAAAAGTTCTTTTTCAGCACATTTGGAAGAATATCAACCTCTGTGGAAATATTAAACAGAGGTCTAAATCCAACAGGTTGTGAAGATGCTGATTTCACCCCACCTTCATCACCCATTTTACCTGAAGATGCTTCAACACCCTTAGGCACTCCAGCTGCAATTTCACCCACAGTATCTCCAACTTCAATATCACCCATAGACACTTCGGCAGCAATATTGCCCTCAGACACTCCAGTTACAATATCACCCACAGTATCTCCAGCTGTAATATCACCCATAGACACTCCGGCAGCAATATTACCTTCAGACACTCCAGCTGCAATATCTCCAACAGACACTCCGGCAGCAATATTACCCTCAGACTCTCCAGCTATATCAACCACAGTATCTCCAGCTGCAATACCCCCCATAGACACTCCTGCAGCAATAGTACCCTCAGGCACTCCAGCTGCAATATCTCCAACAGACACTCCAGCATCAGTATTACCCTCAGACTCTCCAGCTACAATATCGCCCTCAGTATCTCCAGCTGCAATATCACCCATAGACACTCCAGCAGTAATATTACCCACAGTCACTCCAGCTTCAATATCTCCAGTTACAATACTACCTACAGTTCCTCTGGCTGCAATACCAACCACAGTATCTCCGGCTGCAATACCACCTGCAGTATCTCCAGCTTCAATACTACCCTCAGTATCTCCAGTTGCAATACCACCCACAGTATCACCAGCTGCAATACCACCCTCAGAATCACCTGCAACAAAATCACCCTATGGTTATATTGAACCTGGACCAGCAACATCCAAACCTCCCAGAAGCTATGCCTCCAACCTAGGGTTTCAAATTTTACTTTATTATTTTATTCCAGAAATAGAGCTCACAAAACCTTCCAGTAGACTGTTTTATATCCAATTCAAATCTTTGATGTGGTATATTGTTGGCCAAGTATTTAAGACTTAAGGTTTTTTAGTTATAATTGTATAAGTTTCAGAGAAATCAACAGGGATGAATATATTGAACTTTAAAAACAATGAAAGGCCTAATACGTCTAAAAATGTTAGGAAATACACCAAAAGTATTTGGACAAGTATTTTTTTTGCCAAATATTTTCTTATACTTAAAAATATATACATGATAACACAACCTAATTTTTGGAAATTCACTCAATAACCAGCCAAAAGCTGAAGCCTTTTTTATTTGTAATCTCCATTCAATCAATATTTTAAACAGGTCAAATTTATCGATAAGAATTCTTCTAAAATGGTATCTAAATTTAAAAATCCAAATTAAGTGATAAAAAGTCGTCTAAAAGTTTGATGGCTTCTGAGTAGGGGATAAAAAATTGACTAGCACAAAAGACAAATAATTGCTTATATTTTACAAAAAATCGCTTATTTTCAACAAAAAATCCCTTATTTTACAGCAGATATTTATAGCTTCCAAAAATGTAACAAAAATAACTTTTTTGAACAATTAAACAAAGAATCTGAGTTTTTGCCACAAACTTTAAATTTCTAACCTCTATAACTTTGCAACTCGATATTGTAGACCGTAGATATTTAAAACTATCATTTTCGTTAAATCAAATAATCTAAGTTTAAAATATCAATATAAGTTTACTCCGACAGGTTGCAAAGAGGGAGTCAAAAAATTGTGTTTGTGGCAAAACTCAATTCCTTTGCAGTAGAAATTTACAGCGTCCAATTAGCTGTATAGCTTTCAAATAAGGGACACAAACAAGTCATATACTAGCTAGATCTTAGAAACCCTTGTATACTTAAATTCCACTTGAGTGTAGAGTAAAATTCTTTTTAGTTATTGATATTTTTGGATGCTGAAATTTCACAGTATATAGTAAAGGGAGTTTGGAGGTTAGTTTCAGAAATTCCTAATTCTTAATTACTTAAACTTGATTTGTATGGAGCTTACAATTAAGAAATTGTAAAAAGAATCTCCTGATTCTAAGCTTCTCAATCGTCTAATCCACTAGTTTTTGACAGAATGTTGACTTGATGTTTGTTTTGAAGATTAAATCTGAACTGTTTAGCAAACTGTTTGAAACATTTCACAAAAAAATTTGCAAAATAGACCAAAACTTGATTTTTTCGAATTTCTGTGACTGCTTCTGTCTTTTTCAAACATTCACATATCACAACTTGTCGCAAATAGAAATGAACAGACTAACTGAGCACATGAATTCATAAACTAGCTAATTGTAAAATGAGGATTGAGAATGAGTAATCAATCTAACAAATTAGCTGATTAAAAACCAGTTTTGAGTACCTGCATGTAAAAAGAAGATTTAAAATCGCTTATTAGGCGACTTTCAGACATCAAATATGAAGTATTTTTCTTCATCAAAGATAATGATATAAAATTGTTTAAAATGCAGGAAGAAATCGTTAATAAAAAGACTTTTTGCTTATTTCCACATTTTGAGCTTTAGTTGATTTAAAGGTGAAAATTAGGATACTTTTAGTCGGCTTTTTACAAGTTTTGTCATTAATTTCACTTTTTTGAGTTTTTGATTAATAGTGTGAGACAAGCTTGTGTTAACTTGTGCTGGAAATCAGACCTTTTCTGAATCTTAGGTTCAAGCATTTATCCTCAACTTCAAAAGTGACCACAATGGATATTAACACTTTCAGATAACCTCTGCTCCACAGAAAACTTCTTGACAGGTTTTGTTATACATTTCAAGGTTCCCATTAGTTGGAAAAATTTGAAACTCCACTCTGAACCAAATAGAAAACCAGGCATTGAAGTATGTGCAGATGCATCAAAAAGTAACTGTTTTCAAGTCTCTGCTAAGCCATTAGGAAATTCAATCTTTTTCCAAAATTATGTCAATTTCATAAATATAACTACAGTGCTAGTGAGAATATTACTGCTCTCATCAGATCGGTGCGTGTAGATATTATATTATATATTACTTACTGTTTTTTTTCTTTTACTGAAGTTTATTTTTTTGCTATAACTCTAAAATTATTTGAGCTAGGAAGCTCAAAATTTTTTGCTTTTATATCTAGCTCTAGCCCCTCACTTGAGGCTAAACACTAGCTTTTATACCTACTGTCCTCAGGCATATTGTCTAAATGCCTTATTTTACCTATAATCAATCAATATACCCCCCCCCCCATTTATTTTTGGTAAACCAGACGTCAGTCAGAATAGGGTTAAGTGTTTCCGCTAAACTTTTGATTTACAACTGGAAAAATCTGTAATTTTTCCGTATTTCCTCAACTAAAAATTTATGTTTTAAACTTTTTACACCTAAATTTTTTGGAATAAACTATATTACAAATGTTGTCTGAATAAGTTATTTTTATTTTTATTCAATTCATTGATTTATTTATTTCTCTAAATAATGAAGCTAAATCAGTTGTTAAAAATTATATATATTTTTTATTGACAATAAGGATTGATTTTTTTCAGACAGTTCAGCCAAAGCAGAAGAGTAAGTATAATTTTCATTACAAGGCTAACTGAGCGCCGAGCTTCGTGCCTTCTTTCATTTCAACTTTTATTGTTGCTAATGTGAAATGTCATATTTTGGCGTGCTACAACTTGAAAGGAAAAGAGTTTCAAAACAATTGATTTTATTTAAATTCTAAATCTATAAAGTAAAAATATCCGAATAATAATATCACATGCTAGTCTCAGCTGATTAGTAAACGCCCCCTTGGATTTCTCTAGAAGAAGTAGTTCGGAAGACAACATTCATATCCGCCACAGTACTCCCCCCAGAAGGAACGGCGGAGAAATGGCGGAGCAGATCCTTCTATCTCTTGCAGATCTGTGAGGGTTCTGGAAAAGAGTTTCAAAACGATTGATTTTATTTAAACTCCCAATTCTATAAAGTAAAAATATCTGACTAATAATATCACATGCTAGTCTCAGCTGATCCGTAAACGCCCCCTTGGATTTCTCTAGAAGTATTTCGGAAGACGACATTCATATCTGCCACAGTACTCCCCCCAGAAGGAACGGCGGAGGAATGGCGGAGCAGATCCTTCTATCTCTTGCAGATCTGTGAGAGTTCCGTCGTAAAGGTATAGGTGGCGGAACAACCTGAGGATTGAGTAAGAACCTAACCCTCTTAGAAGTCTTGGCGGCGGACAGAGGCGGAGTAGTTGAAGGAGTTGAAGGAGTAGGTGCTGGTTTGAGCCTGGGTCTTCCTCGAGGCGGAGGGAGAGCAGTAGAGACAGGAGAATCGCTGAACACAGGCTTCAGACGATCAACAGATACTACGTCCTGTTTCGAACCAACCTGGAGGCGGAAGTACTTGTCCTTCCTGTCGATCACCAAATAGGGTCCTCGGTAACGTGGAGCTAATGTTGATATAACTGAATCTTCACGAACAAATATGTATTTAGCCGACATTAGAGCTGCAGGTAGCTGGGCTGGAGGAATAGGACGAACATGATGAGGCGGAGGAACGGCGAAACCTTCAACAGCTCTGTTGACCTTCCTGAGGAAAGTATCAGGGAGTAACTCAGGAACATCTACAAGTTCTCCAGGAAGAGTCAGAGGAGCACTATAAACAGCCTCGGAAACTGAGAGGCCGGTATCATCCTTTGGAGTTGCTCTCAAACCCAGGAGAACCATAGGGAGATGGGAAATCCAATCAGAGTTTGCTAACCTTGCTCGAAGAGAAGATTTCAAACTTCTATGGAACCTTTCGACCATGCCATTACTCTGAGGATGGAAGGAAGTTGTAGTAGAGGTTGAGATTCCTAGGGTAGAGCAAACTCCGGTCCAAACAGAGGATGTGAACTGAGAACCTCAGTCAGACTTAAGAACCGCAGGAACTCCGAACCTTGACACCCAGGTTGAAATAAAGGCTCGAACACAGGATTCAGCAGAAATGGAGGACAAGGGCACGGCCTCCGGCCATCTTGAAGTTCTGTCAATCATGGTGAAAAGATATGAGAAACCTTGACTAACTGGTAGAGGACCCATGGTATTAACATGTACGTGAGAGAATCTCCTGGTTGGTACTGGAATAGAGGGAACTGAGGCATGAACATGTGTTGAGATCTTGGATTTTTGACAAGGAATGCAGGATTTTGCCCACAACCCGACATCTCTGGACATTCCCGGCCAGACAAATCTCGACGACATCAATCTTCTGGAAGCTCTGACACCTGGGTGAGAAATACTGTGCAACTGCTCAAACAGCTTGTGGCGGAGCTGAAGGGGAACCAGAGGACGAAGTGAACCAGCTGAAACGTCACACAAAATATAACTAGAACCCACGGGATGAGCAATCACTGTTAGAGATGGATTTAACTTCATTTCTTGCACGGATGAACAAATAGTTTGAAACTTGGATAAACTTGAAACATCTAAACTATGAATCACTTGATCACTTAAAAGATCTCCGCCCAGAGCTGGGACCAAAACGGATGTAGAATCTTTTTTAAAACGTTCCTTGGAGTGAGGGAGAAAACTTGATTTCTCGGTTTCCGACACCTCCGACACCTCCGACACCTCCGACACCTCCACCACCTTGGAACCAGGAACTGGAGGGGAGTGAGGTTGGACAGGCTTAGGGGAGAGCTGAGAAGGTGGTGAAACAGGGTTTGGAGCGGAGCAAGGTTTAACAGAACCTGGAGAAGTGGAGCAAGGTTTAATAGGACCTGGAGAAGGTGAGTTAGGCTTAGGACTCGGAATGGGAAGGGGTGAAATGGGTCGAGAGAGGGCGTCAGCTACCAAGTTCTCTTTACCAGGGACGTGGATAATGGAGCTAGTAAACTCTGCCAGGTATGCAAGTTGGCACTTTTGACGAGCTGACCACGGAGGACTCGTCCTGAACAATGCATGAGTTAATGGTTTGTGGTCAGTTAAAATTGTGAAATCTCTACCTTCTGGCATGAATCTGAAGTGACAAACAGATGAAAATGCTGCCAGAAGCTCTCGGTCAAAGGCGGAGTATTTCTTCTCGGCATCAGAAAGTTTCTTAGAGAAGAAAGCAAGCGGAGACCAGGATCCATCTCGGAGCTGTTGTTGAAGTACGGCTCTGATGTGAGAATCTGAGGCATCCACGGCGAGAGAAATTGGTGCGTTGCATTGTGGATGGACCAACTCTGGAACGGAAGAGAGAAGTTGCTTGGCTTTGGAGAAGGCGGAACTCATTAGTGGGGTCCAAGAGATGGTTTTTCCAGGTCCCTTGAGAGCATCAGTGAGAGGAGCCAGCACTCTAGCCGCAGAGCGAATAAACTTCCTGTAGAAATTGACCATCCCGAGGAACCTCTGAAGACTGGGCTTGTCAGTTGGCTGAGGAAAGGCGGAGATGGGGGCCGAATGCTTCGATAGAGGTGAACAATCTGAGGAAGTGAGACGGTGTCCCAGAAACTCAATCTCCTTCACCGCGAACTGACATTTAGGAAGACCAATAGTGAGACCATACTCACGGCAAAGAAGAAGAACATCCCTCAGATGTTGAACGTGGGAGGCCAGATCCTTACTGAAAACCAGGATATCATCGACGTAGACAAAACAATAAGGCAGATCTCCTAAGATTTGGTCCATCAAACATTGAAACGTATTTCCAGCATTCCGCAACCCAAAAGGCATCACCAGGAACTCGAACATCCCGAAAGGAGTGATGATGGCCGTCTTTTCGATGTCCTCCTGCGCTACTGGCACTTGGTAATATCCCTTCTGGAGATCTAACTTGGAAAAGATAGTTGAACCACTGACTCGTGAAGAAAAATCGGCGATGTTGGGAAGAGGATAGCGATCAGGCACCGTGGCGGTGTTAAGACGGCGGTAACGCCGCAGGGTCTCCATCCTCCATCCTTCTTCTTGACCATATGTAGTGGAGAAGCCCAGGGTGAAGTAGAACGGCGGATAATGCCTGCCTTTTCCATGGCGGAGAACTCAGCTTTAGCTATAGCAAGTTTAGCAGGATCCAATCGGCGGGGCCAGGGTTGGTAAGAATGTGATGACGAACCTTGTGATGTGGAGTAGAAGCAGTGAAACCATCAGATTGTAGAACATCAGGAAACTCACTCAGGAGGTCTGAGACGCATTGTGGAGTAGAGAGGAACGCTGCCTGGAAAGATGAGGTTGGAGACGGATGAGAAGTTGGCAAATCAATCTTACAACCGTTAAAAGAACTGTCAGAAAACACTTTCCTCTTGCTCACGCTCACACTCAAGTCATGATGTCGAAGAAAGTCTGCTCCGAGGATAGGAACAGATACTGCTGCTAACTGGAACGTCCAGGAACAATTCCATGTTCCAAAACGTAGAGGTATAGTTCTGGACCCGGAGCAGGTTACAGTTGATCCATCAGCTGTGATTAACCGCACGCCAGAAGATTTGTCTGAAGTAGGAGATGGAAAAACAGATATAGAAGCTCCGGTGTCGACCAGGAAACGGCGATTAGAGAGTTTGTCATGAAGATAAATGAGAGAAGAACCAGTTGAACCCGCAGGCAGGGAAAATGCATCCTCCTGCTGGTTTCCTAGTTTCCCGACCAGGTACATGGAGCTTGACAACTCAGAGCCTTTGAACCGAACCTAGCGTGATACCAGCAGGTAGATGGGGAAGAGGAACGGCGGGAGGAAGCTGCTGGAGTCTGTGAACGGCAGGCAACTGGACTAGAAACTCTATGGGAACGCTGGGAGCGACGGTTCTGCCTTGAAGGATGAGTATTCATGGCATGCTCAGAATCCACGGCGTTTACAGCTGAATTTGAAGATAAACTGCTCCTGTAAATCTCATCAGCGTGTTGAGCAAGGATGGAGATGTCAACTGCTTTATCATGAACTAGATGAGACCTGACGTCAGCTGGAAGTTGTTTCAGGAAGGCATACCGAAGGAACAGGCAGTCTTGGTGCTCGATAGGAAGGAGAGCTCTCATCTTGGACAACAAAGCAGAGGGTAACATATCTCCAGACAAGGGAAGTGACATGATTGATTCACATTGGGCGTAATCCGTCAGGGAGTGCGTTTGAAGGAGACGAGCCCTGAGAATTCCGTAAGGATCCGTTGCTGATGGATTCCTAATTAGATCAACCACATTATCGATTTCATTCTGAGGGAGCGATGCGACGACGTTCATATCCGCCACAATATGTCAAATGTCATATATCGAATGTCATATTTCAACAATCTTTCAGCATTTTTACAATTTTTTAATGGACTTTCAAATTTTTACTAAAATAGAAAATTTTAGGAGAACATTTTTTGTAATTCTGGGCATCCTAAACATTCCCTGGGGTAATGTTAGGCCCCACAACAAATTTGTGCTTCATCGTTTCAACTGTTTTGACGTTTATCATTTAAAAACGAACAGACAATCAAAGTATATATATAGATAATATGTGGTATACTTCATTGAAACCCTTAATAACAAATACATCGGAAGAATTTATCAAATGTCGTCTTGACAATTTTTCAATTAGTTTTATACTATATGACGTAAATTTGAGTATTTGCGAAAATAAATAAATAGCCATGAATATGCGGGAACAGTTTTATAATCATTTTATTAAAAATCTAAATATCTGAAACATTCCATTTTCAGAAAGTGAAGAATACGACATTTTTATAAGTTGTAAATAGTGTACTTATACCAATAATGGAAAAGGTTTTTGGGAGCAGTTTCACTTCAGAATTTGGAAGATTTTGAAGAAGGGAAAGCAATTTATGAATTTACTGTCAGATCAGAGCTAATGCAGAAAGACCTGAGTAAATAATCTAAACCAGCTGTTAGAAACTTGCATGGACTGGTCTGTGTGTTGGTTGAAAAATAAAGAAAAATATCTGTTCTCTATACAAAATGTGTTGTAGTTGTACTTCTAAGAGAATTGGTCAGGTACTGCGCCCTTGTTTCAGTAGAAGTACACATTTCTGTTAACTGTTTAGCACTGATTTCAGGATTCATTTATAACTGAATGATGAAATATGATGTTACAGCTATTACAATTTATATTGGTTTGTCACTAAGCATGTGACTGAACCCTGATTGGATCAGATGCTTCCAGAAAGATACAACTGTGATTGGGTAGAAGCACACAGTGTCAATTTAGAATTTCAAAGATTTTGAAGAAGAACAAAGGGCCTCCACTGCCAGATCACTGTGTAAGGGTAAAAAAACTGTGCTTAAAGTACATATTCTATTTACAATGAGATATGTAGGCGCTTCTAACAGCATTGGTAAGATATTGAGCAGCAGTCCTCAATTATTATTGGAATTTTAGTCAAATTTGGAGTGCACCTAGGTGAGAAAGCCTGAAGTGCAAAAGGAGAACATACTTACAGCCATTAAACAACCTCAATATATATATAGAGTACTGTATAAGATATATATTTAAACACTAGGTTTTGTGAGCAGGCCCAGATGAGTTTAGCTGTCGACGCTAATAGAGATAAATTAGTTCCTATTGTTATAAATGCAAGGTAACATTAAGCTTGGATTATTGTTCAATTTGAAAATATAAAGAATAATGTCCTTGTATTTAAATATATAACAATATTGAGCCTACTTCATTCAGTGAAACAACTTCATAATATGTTTTATTTTGTTTTAAGTGATATTCCATTTGTACACTGTACTACTTTCACAAACAGCTCTCACAAAATTTCTTTGAATGGTTTGTTTGATTTTTGCAACATTCTAGCTTCCAATTTTAGAAAAAATTAAAATTAGACATTGTTTTTAACAAGTTTTAATTTTCATCTTTACTTCATGTTTTATTGACAATAGTTTTTAAAATGAGAGGAGTATACAGTGGTCAGTGTTTACATCAATACAATGAAGATGACTTTTCTATTTAACTTTAGATTTCATACACGCATTTTTCAAATCACCAGTTTACAAGTAAACAGAGAGAAGCTGATGATTCGCAGTTTCTCTTTTTTCCATGTTTATGTGTATGCTGTTTGAAAAATCAATTATGTTGAAATAGATTGTCCTCTGTTTATTTTTTATATGTACAACTACGATTGTAGAAACTAACATCAATCTCACTCACCAAGCCTGTGAAGATTTAACCCTAAACAGGCTAGGGGGGGGGGGGGGTTTGGTGCCCCCCTGTAGTTTTTTTTGTAGTAGAATTAAGAGAAAACTAAACCCTGGAGTAGAATTAAGAATAACTTGAAAATACGCTTACACTCCCTTTAACCCTAAACAGGCTTGGAGGTAGGGGGGGGTTTGACGCCCTCCCCCCTCCTCTAGTTTTTTGCCCTAGCACTCTAATTTTTTGACACTATCAACTTAAACATTTTTGACTTGTAATTAAAGAAATTTTAGAATTTTTTTTTCTTCTTTTTTTAGGGAAATGTTGAATAACATGCATGCAATGTTTTGGATCAAAGCAAGGAAATGTTCATATTTTTAATGGAATATTAGATTTAATGACACAAATCATGTCATTTCTTCCTTCTAAATTGACCATATCAAGGGAAGGGATAAAAGTAAAAAAGTGATTGAAATGGAGTAAGAGTGCTTTAAAGGGATTAAAAGAGTTGAAAGGGGGTAAAAGGCATTCCAACGGTTTGAGGAATTGAAAGGAATAAATTGTTAACATGATATCTATATTAAGGGTACCGATGTGAAAAGGCATTGCCATCTTCTCCATGGAGGGTCATTTGAAAATATTCTTACAGTCCCTTTTCAGGAAGGGGAAGTTGCACTTAGCTAAATATTGCCTTTATTATTTATGAATTTAATCTGATTATACAATGAATATTTAAATCAGGCATGAAAAGTACTGTAAAGTGATACTTAAAGGATATAGAAGTAAGATTAATTTATTGAATTTTTTAATGAATTTTTGATAGAAATTTTATCCCACATTTTTACTCAAAATTTCATAATCTTGGTTAGAAAGATGTTTCTTATTTGTTCCGAGTCAAATAAGTAACATTTATACCGTCAAACAACTTTAGAATTGGGAATATCGAGATCAATGCTGATGTGTTTTTCATTTGGGAACAAAATGTCGACATTAACTTTCGTTTGTTGACAACATCTTTAGTTTGTTATCAAAATAAAACCCAGCACTACTTCTAACTAGTGATATGTTCGTTCATCGTTTATGAACGGCCCATTTTTTAAATCGTTCTTTAAATCATTGTTAATTTTCCATCTATTTTGCTTGTTTACTCACAGAACGATTGTTCAGTAAAATTGTTCGTTTCATAAAATAATTTTTTTTTTAATGAAAAACATTCAATTTTTCAAAAAATTTTGTATAACAGTGATATTTTTTTTAATCTTTTGGAAAACTCGTTTGTTTGGTAAAATTAAAAAATAGTTCATGAACGATCAATTTTAAATTGTTGGTTTTTTCGTTTTAAATAATTTAGTTTGTTCACAAAAATGATGCCCATCTCTACTTCTACTTCTATGCATCACTCACATTTTTACACAGAAATTATGAGCCAACAATTTGGAAAGAAAAAAAATTAAATGAACAACCCAGCTAATTAAATGGTTGTTAACAATTAAGAGCCCGCCTAATTTGATTTTCATTTCGTTCAATTGATTTCCAAATTAGCCAGTTTATTTACATTATATATGTTTTCACCTTTCTTCATTAGTTTGCTAGACTAGCGCATTTATTTTTCAGAGACATGAACAATTATTTATAATTTATTAATTATAAATATAATAAACTGTTTTCTTTATTTAGGAAAAAGTATTGGAATTAGTTGGACGTTATGCGAAAAGAGCCACTGGGTACATTTATGATTTTTTAATATTTATTTACACTTTTTATTGGAACCATACCATGTTTGAACCCCGTCTCTTATTTGAACCACATGGTTCAAATTTTTTAACTTTGGCCTCAGATCGACAAAAGGCTTTTTATTTTTATTTTATATCTTTAGAATTATTTAATCACAAAAGAATATATTTTCCTACCCACAACCTGTTCTGTTCTTGCAGCCATAAAATATTAATATTTTTTCTCCAATTTAGAATACAGGACAATACTTTGCTATTTGTGAACCAATCTGATAATCTAATAGAAGAAACCAATTGGCTAAAATTATTTGCACTGTTTGTACTTTAGTAAAAATTAATAAAACAAAGATTTTTATTATTAATTCTTAAGAGTCCTAGCATTTTATCAATATCTTAATTAATCAAAATCTTGAATTTTTAAATTAAATTTTAAAATTCTGAACTTAAAAATTTCGAGCTTTAAATTATCAAAGGTCTATTAGGTTGCTTAAATATATAGATTAATACAATTAGAGTTTGTAACAAAGAAAAAATTCCTTTTTCTAACTTTATTACTGTGAGAAAACATATTTCTAAAATACATAAATGAATAGATATTTAAGTTTTTAAACTTCACATTTTATGAAAAAAAAGAATTATACGAAACATAATGTTTTACGCCTCATGACGATCCTCAGTAATCAAAATTCTTTGAACAACTCAAATGAATAGATAGATAGAAAGATAGATTGATAGATATAGATAAATATAAAGATAGAGGATTTGATTAAAACATGCTGAACATATAAAACTAGTATAAACTTGGTTCAAAGTTCAAACTGAGTATAATAAAAGGGTTGGTTCACAGTATTGAAATTTGAATCAAGAGTGTTCTTTTTCTAGTTTTTATTTGTGTTGACAATTAATGTAAATTTATTTTTTATTTGTCTCAAATAGATTGTTAAAATTAGCACTTTAGTCTTACCTTATCACTTTTATTTATAGTTTTTTCAGACACAGAATTTGAGTTGACACTTATGACCATCTTATGACGTAAATACACCCTTACTGAAAGTGTACGCATTCTGTGTTGCCATCTATTGTACTTGACAACCTATTTGATTAGTCTAATTACATATCTATCTATCTATCTATCGATATATTTATGTATATATCTATCTAGCTATCTATCTATCAATCAAACTAGCTAGCTAGCTTTCTATCTATCCTTCTATCTATCTATCTATATAATATTCTTGAAGTTGTAAGGTTTGAAGAAATATCCAATATTGTAGAACACTTTCCAAATTTACTTTCTCAGACAACATAGATAATAGACATCATAGACATTATAGACAACATAGACAGCATAGACAACGTAGACAACAGACAACATAGACAATGTAGACAACATATACAACATAGACAACATGGACAATGTAGACAACATAGAAAACAAAGACAACATAGACAATATAGACAACATAGACAACATAGACAATATAGACAACATAGACTACATGGACAATGTAGACAACATAGACAACATAGACAACAAAGACAACATAGACAACATAGACAACATAGACAACATAGACAGCATAGACAACATAGACAACATAGACAACATAGACAACATAGATAACATGGACAACACAGACTACATAAACAACATAGACAAAATACACGAATTTAAAGGGAGAGAATGGCTCAACATGGTAGTTGAGCAGAGAGTGCAGTATTGTCGAGAAAATTTTATGATTCATTACGGTGTGTTATTGTTCAGCAAGAGCACAAATTCAATCTTCAAAATCTTTCTGGATTGTCAAATGCAAATCTAGAGAGATGCTTTTAAGAATCGGGTTTTTAACAATTGTTCCATAACGACGATGGAAATTGTTACACAAAATTCTACAGTAAACTAATTCATTGTTTAGAAACATATTGCTCAATTGAAATTTGTGAATAGATAGTAAAATTAATTATTTCTTATTAAAATTTTATTGAATTTCTATGCCACAAACTAGTATGTTCTAATCCCTATATGTTTGCAAACTGATGTTGCAATCTTTAATACTTTAAACTTGGATTATTTAACCCAAAATAATTTCTAGGGTTTACAACACTGGGTTGCAAAGATATATGTATTAGAAAATCTTAGTTTGTGGCAAAAACTAAATTCCTTTGTTTGCAGATTTCTTCAAATTTTACAAATGTCGTCTTTTCAATATAATTCCTGGAAATCTTCGGAAAACATCAAAGAATAAAGAAACCGATAACCGAATAAGATTATTTATGTTCAATGATAACATTTAATTTTTATTGTCTCAATCTGTTCCTACCATGTCAAGTCGGCCTCTCCCTTTAAATACTGAAAGAAGTAATTACAAAACAATGAGTTTTGTGCTGAACATTATCATCCATTGAGGAAATTTGATTTGTACAAATCCATTTGAGGGTTCTAAAGAAAGGCTCGTGAGTGGTAGGCTCGTTCACAGACATTATAATCCAGAAGATTCTAAGAAATAAACCTTTCAAAATTTAGAGGGTATGATTTATTATTAAATTCATAATCTCTGTGAATGATGATAAATTTTGATATTTTTCATCCAAATTGCACTTTATAGGGAATTTTAATAACTTTATACCCCCGCCCGCAACCATTGTAACCTTTGAAACCTTTGAAATTTTTAAAAACATTAAACCTTCGGAACAAATGTCTGCAAAACGTCTGGTCTTCAGGTTGTAAAACTTTTAAAACAAAATTTAAACCATTTTATGTTAAAAAGTCAAAAAGAAAAATTTCTTTTTTCTTTTTTCAGAATTTTATTTCATGAATGCATAAAAGTATGTTTTCTTGTTTTTATTCATTGTTTGTTTTGAATAGAGGGGAAAGTGTTTGTAAATAGAAAATAATATGAACAGAGATTAATTCTAATCTATATAATTTTAAACATAAACACAAATACGATTACCAAAGTTGGTTAAAGTAAAAAAATTTTAACTAGGCTTCTATTCTAATTGAAAGAGTAATACAATCCAATTTTGTTGAACGCAATTTTTGAAATTTTGATCATTCTTAAACTTTCCTTGGGGTCACGAAGGCCAGTCACAACAATTTCTAGTCCGAGCCACATTCTCCTTATTTTCTCGTCCGAGCCACCACTAAATCCTCGTCCTTCCAATTTTATTTTTATTATACTGTCTACTCCTCCAAGATAAATGTTGTTTTAATCGGATTCGGGCCTCGTTAGGGCATAAATAAAATATAGAATTTTAGTATATGAAAAAATAGTTTCAATTGAATTAAAGTTTTTGAGTCCTTGAAAATGTTCTCCTTTTTTCAGATATTCATGGATATTCTTGGTGTAGAATGCCGCAAATAATACCGAGATTATAGAACTTTAATCTTTTTTCTTAATTACAGTGAAAACCATAGATTTTTCCCGGATGGTTCCATGGGCAAAATGATAGGCAGAGGTATGCCAAATATTTTGCTATGTATTTCATATCGCGAAGGTTAGCCATTGCGGAGGCAGATGAGTTTTAAGTTTTACCTAAATAAAGTTTGACATCATTCTCATGTCTCTAAAGATTCAAACATGATTTTTTCCTTATTTTATGCCCTAGCGTGGCCAGATTTGTTAAACTATTTGTTAAACATTAGCAAAATTGCTTAAGTTTTGGCAATAAAATTAGGCATAAAAGAAACTGAAAATATATTTCAGTTAACCATGTAAGCAAAACTTGCAATGCCCTAGTCTCATTTGTGGATTTTATGTGTTCTGATAATTTGAAATGTGTTCCTCCGGAAAAAAATGCAAAAATTCCTAATGCAACCACAATTGAAAATAATTTGTTTTCTAAATTATAATACATATAATGTATTTTAAATATATTTTAAATATATTATAAACATATTTTATCATAAACATATTATAAACATAATACATAAGATAAATCTATTAAGGCTACAGTTTTTACCGGGCATTGCCATCTTTGCATGAAGAGTCACATGGAACTACGCTTACAAGTACAAGTTAGGGCTGGGCACGTTTCGACTTTTTTAAAATCGTTCCGTTCCGTTCTAGAACAAGGGCCTTTAGCTTGATCGTTCCGTCCTCGTTTGTTCTTTTTACAAGTGTTACATCCATTCCGTTCCTTTCCGTCTTGGTGTTCGTGAACGGTCCAGCCTGTTCCTTTCCGTTCTACGGTCCATCCTGTTCCTTTCCGTTCTTTGTGTTCTTTGTCAAGAACTGTTCCATCCCAAGTGTTAATAAATTATTTATGCAATTCTCTTGAGTATACTTATCAGACACTCCCTCTTAATACTGTGGTGTAAGCTGCAAGGGGTGAAGACTAGAGATGGAAACGTTCCTTATAAAAAAATCTATATTTTAAAAGGATTTATTACCTAAATAATGATATCAAAGATATATTTACACTGAAGGCAGTATTGATTAAAGCTTTATTAATGAAACTTTTTAGCCAAAGGCAAAAGTGAGACTTTAAAGTATTTTTTTATATGATGTAATTTTACTTTTCAAGTAACCCTCCATTTATAGAGTGGCAATATGGCATTTCCGATGTACCTATGTATGTATGTCAGGTCAGTATAAAAAATCTAAAATAGCATAGCCCATAACTTTTTTATGACTAAAGCTACAGATCTAAATACTTTAGTTTAGAAAAGCCTTTGAAAAATAGATGTAGAAAAATATGTCACACTTTGATATTTGTGTTAAACCAAAAAAATATTTTTACATTGTTTTAGACCTTTTTTTGGCATTTTTTCATTTTTTAGCACTCAAACTATAAAAGTTATCGATCTAAATTTTTTTTTGGCCTTGAACAATTGGGCTATGAACATGCATTCCATTTCTATATGCCTATTCTCTAAGGTCTTTTTCTAGGACGCCCCCCCCCCTCCTGTTCTATTCAGACCCCTCGGCCCCAGCCTTTATATGGTTAAGGGAGTTAGAAAATCATTTTAATGTTCACTGGATGCTTTAGATGCTTTCAATTAAAATATTGACAAATATATTCTTTGAAACAACAGCAAGTATTATGACTCTTCTTATCCTGGGTTAAAAATGTATTTCAGAAATTGACAAACACATAAATGGACGGTACAAAATAATAGGGTAAATATACAAAGCTTATTAAAGAAACACATCAATAATTCTCTTTGATGATAACATGAAAAGATATTATCTCTGAAAATTAAAATTTGTTTAACGGCTCTAGAAGAAGGAAGAGGGAAAAGAACAAATTATCCAGCTTAAGAGAGGAATGAGGCAATTTCTCTACAGTGTTCCTGAATATAGGAGTAATGAAAAATAACATGACCATTATGCGTATGTTTTTTTACCCAGCAAACCAA